CAAAACTAATGGAAGAAAATTACTTATTTGTTTAGAGAAGCCGTAAAATAATTGCCATACTATTATTGACTCCAAAGATGATTCATTAATTGTGGGAATAGGTGCTGCTTGAAACAAAACCAAAAACTGAAGGGAAATGAATGAAGATTCGGTCTAATTTGCCAAGGAGAAAAATAAAAAATCGCCGTACTATTTTTGACGCCAAAGTTTTCATTAATTTTGGTAATAGGTACAAACTGAGATAAAAAGAAGTTATGCTCCAAAAGGCAATATATAATTGACGTCATAGACGCTTAATTAATTTTGGTAATAAACTCTACTGGTGTTATGGTAATTGGTGCAGTACTATGTACTGTGGAAAGAATTTTTTTTCCTCTAAAGGAAATAGTGCCAGAAAAAATCACATGATTGTCACAAATGTTTACTGTCATGAGTTGATTTCGAACAACAACATCACACCAAATAATATTGAATACAGTTAAATTTTATTTTGAAGGGAGGAACTGCTGAAAGCGTGTTCCGCTTAATCTAATAACGTAAAGCTACAGGCAGGGGCAAAAAAACAATAATAAATACAAAAAATCTATATATATAATCTAAATTGATTGTGTTCGTAGTGTCTTTTAATTTTGTGCATGATTCAATAGTGTTGTTCAATACTAATTTATTGATCATTTTATTCCGTACGATTTTTATTTCACCCTGTACGAAGAGTGGGTATTTCTCTAGTGATTAATAAATTTAAAAAGCAGGTGCTTCTTTTTTTTCTTCGAAAATCGAAGCAACTAAAACAGTGGAGGGATTTCGAATGAACGATCAAATGTTTACATAGGTATGAAAGGCAATTTCTTGGAGCTCTTGTTCCTTCGATATGAGTAGAGGTTATTTCGTTCGCTCTTTTTTATGTTCCCTTGAGATTCGCTTTGACTTCGTGACATTAGATTTTTAAGGGGGACTTTAAACTGTAAGGGGGACTTAAGGGGGTGGATGCTTTCTCATGAGAAAACTATCACAAACTACAATTCTACTTTTTCCTGAATATAACATATTAAAAGTGGTAGAATAAAAAGTAATTGACCTATTTATATAAAACAGTACCCTTACTACTTTAAGTAAATAGGCCGATTTAGCTGTAATATTCATTCCCTGAGTTAGTCATTAGTTGAACTAAATAGATTTTCATTAATTTTAGTGGTAAGGCATCGATGTGGTTCTATGGCATGAAATGCTTGAGAAAACATTTATTTAGCTTATTGATAAAACTTTGATGCTTTTATAATTGTTACTTTGCAATAAACAATCATTTAACATTCAAATCTGTTTTTCAAATATTGCGAGATTTGTAGAAATTTCTTTATTCGCCGTCTGATTTACGAAACCTCTTGATTTATTCTTCTCACTGATTTGTGATGATGCGAGCCTTTACATTCTTTTTCATAACTATTATTTTTTCTTCTTCCGTTAAAGCACGGAAATGTTAGGATGACCGTCGGACATTTAGGGGACCACTCCCTAATGATTGCCAGACCAACATCTTAACCACTGACGTCACTATCCTAAGTCATGAAATATCCATCGATCTCTTTTTTTCTCTCCTCATTTCGGTATCTTTCATAAATGATAAATTCGGGAAATCGAAGGACAAGTTCCGGTGGAAATTTTTTTTTCTTTCTGAGAACAAATTGGGCTCTGGTTGATCGATATTTTAGTGCGCCGCATAAATGTTCCTTCTATTTCCTTTTTTTTCTTCTTGTGTGTGAATGCTATATGAACTCCCCCCTTCTTTCCATTACGAAGTAAATTGTGGAAAAAGGTCTCAATTTCAATTGATGGATTCTTGATTTTTTTCCTTACTATAAAAATAACAGCCTTTTATTACTGCATTTATTAAATAGAAAGGAAATCAACGTTTTACAATCTATTTTTAAATTTATTTTAGGGCCTTAAAATTAAATATTTTTTTAATAATTACAAAGTGAATTGAACTAGAAATTTTAGTTTGTAGATATATATGATGTATAGTGTTTTGGATCAACAAATTTAATTAATTTTTAAAAAATTTCGATGATGCATAAAATTTATAAGCAGAAAAATATTTTTTATTATTTTGAAAATTATTTTATTATTTAGGAACAATTGTTTGGATATACATTTTAATTTAAGAAATTTTACATTTATTATTGTATAGTTGTTACTTAAAGCAAATATTATTTAACTAAAACTAAGTTTACTTAACTGTATAATTATACANTATAGTGTTTTGCATCAACAAATTTAATTAATTTTTAAAAAATTTCGATGATGCATAAAATTTATAAGCAGAAAAATATTTTTTATTATTTTGAAAATTATTTTATTATTTAGGAACAATTGTTTGGATATACATTTTAATTTAAGAAATTTTACATTTATTATTGTATAGTTGTTACTTAAAGCAAATATTATTTAACTAAAACTAAGTTTACTTAACTGTATAATTATACATAAACAAATCTCTTTAGAATTTATTTTAATGCTTTAAAATAAAAGATTTCTTTCAATAATTTCAAGGCAAATTTAATTGCAAACTTTAATGGGCTCATATATGAAATGTGTAGTTTGATGGATTAAGAAATTAAATTGTCTTTTAATAAATTTCATCAATATATAAAATAATGAGCAGAATTTTTTTTTATTATTCAGAAAATTATTTTATTATTCAGGAAAAATAGTTTGAATATAGATATTTATTTAGTAAATTTAAACGTATTATTAAGGAAAAATAATAACTGACTGAAACTATATTTACATGATTGCGTTTCTTTAAATTTTCAATTTTTTTTGTCTCAGTTATTTTAATTTTTGAAAATGAAATATTCATACAATTTTTACTATTCTAATATTTGATACAATTTTTATTTTTAAACCATTGTTAGGTAAAATCATATTGAGCTGATATAAAACGAATTCTTAATTTTTATGATTAAAAAATTAAGAGTAGTGCGCATATTATTATACATTTTGATTGGAAAATCTATCTTTCATAATCGATTGTAAAGCTGGGAAAACATTTGAAATAACAAAAGAGAGAGAAAATCTTCAGGTATTCTTAAAAATTTTCTTGTACGCTGTAGCAGCCAGCTAGAAATTTTTCACCGAAAAAGTAACCCTCTACCAATTTATCTTTGAGCAAGTTTTCAATGTTTGAACTAACTCTCTCTACTTAAAATTTCTCCTCTAATATGGACACCAAGTTTTCCATAAATAAGATAACAGACGATGAAACTTTTCTTCCCCAACTAGTCTCAGTAATTCCTTCTCTTCTTCTTTGAATAAAATGTATTTGAAAGTTGCAATAAAAACTTTGTTGTTTCGTATAGATTCACATTTATTCATAATTTAATACGCTTACTACTCTATTAATAAATATCGGGAATGTTTCATTTAAATCAAGAATGCTTAACTATTATGTAAAAAGTTTTCTGTAATGTGTTTAAAAATTTAGGTAAACACCATGTCATAACAAGTGTTTCATCTTTTGAATAATGTTCCAGCATTTGATGCCACTTGCATCAGAATTCGTCAATGCCTTAATGTATAAGGATCACCCAAATGAACGAGAAACTACAGTCTATTTTATAAATGGTATAATTTAGTATACAAAGGAAAGAAACAGATGGGATATATCTCGTAGGTTGAAACGAGTGAAGAAAATGGTTGCGGAACCGATTCTCAACGGCAGCTCACTATCATCTTCAGAGCTGTCTTGAGTGAATCGAATATGTGGTAGTCACACGGCTAGACGTCTGAACTGGTTCGAGAACCTTTCAGTGGAATTCTGGGAAATCCCCAAGCGGATTGCATGCCACGTCGATCTTCATGCAATGTGGCACAGTGCGTGGTAGCAGTGGCAGTCATGCCTGAATCATCGACTTCGAAGAAGCGCAACTTTACCAGCTTCAGTTGAGGAGGAGGAAGAGTGTCGTCATTCCATGTTTTTGGATCAAAGTGATAGGCGTGTGATCCTTGAAAGGAACTGGCTCCCCATTTCGTGGTACTGCATAAGATGTTGCATGGAAACAGGCAAACTCTAAATTTTCTATCAAAGGTTTCGGCACCCATTGCTGGTAAATTTTTGGAAATTGCAACCTTTTATGCAGTATTGTGCGAACACTTCCTTTTGCTCATAGGTAATTTCTCCATTGCTTCTCGAGTGGTGATTCAGCGATTATTTTTTAGCGATGGCCACACACATTTTGCATTCAGTGGCAGATATCACTAGAACTAACTTTTTCCACTGTTAAAAATTGAACGACCGAGCGTTGACGCCGTTTGGAGCCACACATGAGGCTTTTAACGGGTTTCTATGCAAGCATCTGACGATATACCAGCACTCTGCACTTTCTGTAGGAGCAAGGGAAAGTCATTTTTATTTTCAAAAAGTGGAGTTATTACAACAATGCCACTTTCATTTGGGTCATCCATATGTATAAAATAGAGGAAAAAACATTAAATGAATGACTCTTATACTTAACTATAAAAGCACTTTTAAGATAATTGGAACCTATTAATAAATTACTACTTTTGAAATCCTTTAAAGAAATTTCACATTACAGATGTAAAGTTAACATTATAGCGAGGAAGAGAAATAAAACGCTATCATAACCGAATAAATCCCTAGTGAGAAAGAAAATACGTTAAAAAATAAAACCAGTTTGATTGCTGGATGAAAGAGGAGTCGATTGTTCAAAACATCTCAGAGTTTTATCAGACATTCGACCAAAAACAAAAGAGACAAAAACAAAAGAGACATCTTGTCTATATTTGTAGTTCTTGAAACTGGTACGATTTATTTGAAATACGATTGGCCTCAAACTTTCGGAAACAGTTTATTCACACTTACTTGAGGAAATGAGTTCTGTTATTTTTCTGAAGGAAATAAATGCAAATCAAAATTTTTTGCCGAAGACACATTCTTTTGCATTTCTCGGATTGACTAACTCTTTTTTCCTTAATAATAGGTGAGATTCTGTGCCATGCTTTCTCTAAAGTTCCTGTACAACACTCCCCTCGGCTCTTTCATCACTGGTTGGCGCAAGAAAAAGAGAGAGTCGGGTGGCAAAGAAATAGTGGTGGAGGATTCTTCTCAGGATCCAATGATGATGGCCTACATTCACTCCATCCCCAGGGCTCAGTGGTTCAAAGGGGTTCTGCTTCAGGGATATCTGGTTCACCCTAATATTCTACAAGGTCTCGACGAATTCCAAGTCCGAGAGGATGACGTTTTTATCATCACATATCCTAAATCAGGTAAAACTGTCTTACAACATATTTTTTGAAACTAAAAATTTCAGTTCTCTATTGATATTCCAAATGTTACTTACCTAAACGTGTAAATTTTTGCGGGAAAAAAAATTAATTGCTTACAAAGTATTCCAAATAACACTCTCCATTTCGTTCTCATATAAGCTGTTTGGAGGGTACAGTGCGCAAATAATAATAATAAATAACGGAACACTTTGAATAACTTCTAATACAGTGATCGGATCTTCACATTTAGGAATTCAATTTTGATGGTTTAAAGGGATTACCTCAAATTTGAAGATTAATGAGTGCAAACGATATTTTAAATTAAGAAATCAGATACAAATTTACTCCATCTCTTTCTCTAAATGAAAATACCAGTGTTTGACACTATTAATAAATAATAAAAATAATAATAAATAGTTATTAAGTAAAATTTGCATTAAGGAATCTAAACTTTTTACCGCTCTCTTGACTTAACAATTTGGACCTTATTTCTCAGATTACGGTTAACCCCCATATTTTGAGATTCAAGAGTCCGAATCCATCAAAAGAAAAAGTTAGATTTATTTAGATAAAGCACGTTTTTGCGTCAGATTTCGTAACTTAAACTATCGCCTGCAATCATTAATTAGCATATTTTGGATCCCCTTTTTATACCATTAAGATTAAGTCCTTGAACGTGAAAATCGCTAGATCAAAAATTATTAAGGGTGGAGTGAGCGAGCATTTCTGTTTAGAAGGAGGAAGGTCTATTCAAAGTTTGTATTTCTTTTTCGAGGAATGACCATTGTTTGCTCAAATGATGCATAATTACTGTGAATAACCTTTTTCCTAAATGAGGCCTGTTTCCGGCACAGGAAGTCAACATTAAAACGCATTTCCAGCTTCTGTAATGATGTCAAGAGTTTGTATTCAATTCAAATTATTTTCATTGCAGTCATCTTACAATACTGTTCGTAGTTTTTCATTTCAAATTGAACACTTCATGTTTAGAAGTCATTGAGAAATTTTTATTTTTCTATTTTGTGAAATTTAGTTATGTAAAATAATACCTTTAATAAGATCATAATTTATATGCGCAATCAAAAAATTTGTCATTGTAGTGATCAGCATTAACAATCTTTGAGAAAAAATACCCACTGCTTGTAATTGTAATGAACTTTATTGAAATTGATCTTTAATGTATATAGTTAATATATCCTAACTCAATTCATATGCTTACGTATACCCAACAATTAGTTCAACAATTAGTTCATTAATGTATAACCCATGCTTATTTTTTGGAGCATAACATTAAGTTATCGTCAGTGACCATACATTTTAAAAGAGAGCATTTACGGACACAATTCTATTGTATGGTCATTGAGTAGAAAATTTTTGCCGGTCATTTTCAATTATCAAGCGATTTAATTTTTTAAAATGCTTCTTAAAGCACTTGACAAAAGGAGAGCATCTCGACTGGAAATCCGCTTTTGAGCCCATTAGCAGAGTGTTATTTGAATTTAATATTTGAAGGGAGTTCTGCAACATTTCCCCCCCTTATGTTGCCGTCTGCAATATTAAAATAAACACATTTCAAACCATGATTTAATTTATCATTTTCTTTCTAACTTATTTCTGGATCTTGCGTGAAAGTATTCTAACTTTTAAACATAGACGTCAATATATATATATATATAAAAATTACATTTGCATATCATACTTATATATTTGAAGTAATACAAACTCACATTTACAGAGTTAAACCTTAAATTAAAAGATTTTATGGAAATATTTACAACTTTTTTATTTGGTTATATATCGAACTGAGTGTTTTTGTATCGAAAGTTGAATTAATACAAAGATGTGTTTCTTAAAAAAAAACAAGCTTGGTTCTTTAAAAAAACCGTCCGGTCTTAACCATAGTTTAACCATTAGTTTAAGCCAGTCAACCTGTCAATAATGATTTGCCAGATTTCGATCGAGTTTGTTTTCTGTCTTAAATATTAGTTTACTTCCCCTGAAGTGTATATAATGACTACTGACTACATAATAAGGATTCGTAAAATATGTATTACGGATGCTGATTAAAGAGCATCCTGTATATTAATTTAAGGGGTTTAAATGATTACACACAGATAGCGCAGGAGATTTGAATATATCTTTGATTCAATTATACTCTAATCCAGGAGACCATGATGATGACAAAAATATCATTTCTCCTTATAAGTCCCATAGTTCATTAGATTTCGTGGCTTTCTGCTTTATGTATTGCAAATTATTGAAACACTCTACAAGAATATGAGTGTATCGTATTCAAGTATTTGATTTGAGTTTTCCTGCATTAAGTGGGTAAAGCATTTCGAGGAGTAGTATGTGAATCTTTATCGCTTCTATTAAAAGATCCTCGACCAGAATGAAATAAACATTCCGACGCACACAAATACCTCTTCGCACCTTCCCCCCCCCCAAAAAAAAATATATATATAAGAAGGAAAAACTCCCGTAGTAATAATTCAGTCGTTGTCAGTCGTTTGTAATAAAAAAAAAACTTCTCCTCAACGTTCTGCCAAGTTTTAAAAAGCAGAAACGCCCTACTACTGTTATGGAAAACTTTTTTTCTACAATTTATTAATTAGACTTTTATTTTTAAGTACATAGATTATTAGTGTTTTTTGCACTAAATAGGAGAAAATTATGGCATTTTAAAATGTTGTAAGCATTTATGTTCAAATTACGTAAAACTTCTTAATTTCGAAAAATGAATTGAAGCATTAAATGGACCCTAAATAAGACAATAATGGCATAAGACACTAATCCAGACATCAATAAGATATATAATTATAGCATTATCTTTCTAACATTAATTATCATTATAGTATTAAAACTAAATATTCCAAAAAGGGAAAAAGAGAGCAAGAAACTGTTGGTCATTAGCTAAAAACATTCTACCGAAGGAGACTGTCGAAGTTTAAGCTGCAGCAGGAATATTAATTGAAATATTGACAACGTGACTCCAGCTCTCTTGAGCAAACACCTTCATAAAAGTTGACGACGATGTATGAAGTTATTTATGGATGAATATTGGATTTGATCGAATAAAATACTGAATATCATTTCCTAAATTCGTAACGGTTGAATGTGAGTTCTTCCATTGACTTTTAGTCACTAAAAATGTGTCAAGTCATTTAAACACTTTTAATGCACTGACGCAGAGATTACTAAATTTGAAATTTTGTGGACACTAAATATATAATTACATAATCAACTGCAAAACAGTTATTTTAATGAGCTTTTTGTGTTGAGCGAATATTTACGTTGATGTCGTTTCCTATTTTAAGAGCATATTTGTCTCTACGTTAAAAGTGCTCTTTGTACCAATTTTCATATTTTTCTTCGATTCCTATTTTTAATATAAATTTTTGTTTGTTTCATTGGGTGAAATGCGTGAAAGTAAACGAATTTCAATTGGAATTGCCCAGACGAAGAGGGCACAGGAATAATTGATACACAAAAACAGCTGTGTAACCATTTTATGAAGATAGGTGCTCATCTGATAGCATGTAAGAAGTGAATCAGTTCGTGTAAGAACATGTATTAAAAAATTCAATGTCGTGCTGAAAGTGACGCTCTTCTTATTTTTTTCTCTTTCGATTCCGTTGATCCGCAAGATGCTTCGAAAGCAAGAATAATTGTCTTGGAAGCTCTGAATTTGGTTTCTACAGCGTTGGGCAGTGTCGACTAAAATAAAGAGCTAAAATAAAAGAAACCTTCCTTGGGTTGATTGCTTCGCGGTATCCAACCAGAACATTGGTCCTTTGGATTAAGATTGCATGTCTGAAGATCTTCCGAAGTGGATGACTGCCACAACACATCCCATTACTTTTCAATTCTTTCAATATCTGATTAATTGCCGAATCCCGATGATAGTGATAGAATCGAAGAGCAAAAGGAGCTTAAAAGCATATAAGCTCGGAAACATTTGCGAATGTAAACCATAAAGCAAGTATGCAAACAATAGTAAGTATTGAGAGGTATATTGTATCTAAGAAACAAAACAAAAAACATGTAAATATTACACATTTTTCTAGTAGTTCCCCTCGTTTCAATTTTTTTAAAATATGCTTTTTTTCTACTCTGATTTTACGTCATCCCGCTTCATGCATTTTTTAGTTTTTTTAACGCTTGCCTGATGGAAAACACGTACAATATATA